GCTGGTTGTTGGTTTTAAAGAAAATTTGTAAAGCCCCGCTTCACTGTCTCCAATGTAAATATAAATGCATATTTTTTAAGTGGATTTTGCCTTTAAAGTGACTTCAAAAGTAACAATCCTGTCATGACTGTTGTTGTTCAGACATTTCCTATTATAAAGTGACAACTCCCTTTTCCCAATTGTTCTCTGTTGTCACCCCACTACACAGTCTGCTGATGGAGACTACAAGCACTCATGCTGATGCGTAATGCTCAGACGTCGTGACATTGTCCCCAAGCTGCCCTGAAAAGTGACATGCAGCTGTCGCTGGAGTACATGTATCTGAAGAAAGAGCGGCTGCAAACGTTGCCGCAGATCAGCAGCGCTAATTCACAACAAAAGACAAAAAAATTAAAAATTTAATAACCGTATCTTAATAATAAATGCTAAATATTAATCGGCTAGGGGTTATATAAGATTTTCCAAACCATTACTGACTGACTGTACTCTCTTGTCCAAGTTCACACCGGGCGTATCATGAACGCGCGTCAAATTTGCACTAATAACTAAAATCTAGGATTATTACAGGGGGTGGGCAATTCCAGTTGTTGTGGAACTACAAGTCCCATGAGGCACTGCGAGACTGACAGTTACAGGTATGACCCCCAGAGGCACGTTGGGACCTGTAGTTAAAGCACAGCAGGAAAGTGGGGGTGTCAGTGTTGCCCTCCTCCCCTGCTGCAACATGATCACAGGATGGTGACACGACCTGTGAATGGGAAGACTACAAGTCCCATGTGAAACGGCAGCAGAGGGACTTATAGCTCTCAATGGACTACACGTGCAGGGACATGAGGGATTAATAGTTAATGCATAGCTGTATTGTGAAAGTAAGTCAAACATGCATAAATGCAGAACGTGTTTGTTTTCCCATTACTAGGTAATAGCATTCTAATCGCTGGCGGGCAAACATGGTTTTTCCCTGCGCCAAAGAAAAAAGGCAGAATGCATGTTGCCAAACTTGGGACATACTACTATTCCGCATTTGGTGTGTCCAGGGAACATGAACCATACAAAGCACTGCCAAAGTGCAGGCTCATATGTGAATGGGCCCCCAAAATATCATCTAACTGGGGTGACTGCTTCTAACACTAAACTGTAAGATGAAACTATTCAGCCAGAAAAGTCAGCACAAGGGCATTTAAAAACAGGGGCCCTGCATGCCTCTATGGCACTGTGTTATACACATCTACGTCCCGAGGAACTACAAGAGCCAGCATTTGCTGCCACCCCTCCATCTAGTCTCCTGCATGAGCAGACGCCATTCATATAAACAGAGGAGAATCTGCGGGGAATCACATTGATAACATGGAACGTTTAGAAGGCCATCAGAGCTTTGCTGGCTGTGTCCCATTGGGGGTGATATTCTAACTTCCTGTGCGCAAGACAACCGGAAGTGAAGGGGATTCTCTGCAAAGTATGATAAATCGTCTTAGTTGTCACTAGGGAAACGTCCCCATAGTAAGATTTCCCTGCTGTTCCGGTGACATCTTTGGATTTTTCCTTCACCAGGACAATAAATCACCCCAGAAAAAAAAAAGCAACAACCCGGACAGATCCGTACCCGTCCCTACTGTATGCAAATCTAATTTGTTTTGCCCTTCAGATCAGCTGATGACCTAAAGATACAGAACACTACCAGGCATGGACCTATAGCATACAATGCAGATCTTCCTTCCATGAAGTATAATGGAGATTCTGCATGCACACCCCCTGTAATGTACAATGCATGCACTGCGCATACGTATTTCTCTTCATAGAAGAGCATAATAATGGCGGCCCTTCACATGATCACATCCCCTCCCCACTGAAGGATTAAAAGTGTCAATTTATGTCTAAATACCTCCAAAATATATAACACATCACACGAACAGCGCACCCCCCTCTCCACAGCGCGCACACCCCTTTCCTCACAACATACACACACTGTATACAGTATTCATGTGAAATATAGAGCAGTCTGTGGGCCCCACTATTGGAGGTCTGTGAGGGTGTCACCCGGTGATATGGCCCGTATATAACAGGGAGCAGTAACAGGTGCAAAAGAAGGGACTATAGAACCCCCCCCCAAGTGCAAGCAGCACGGACAGCTCCCCATCTCGGGTACACTAGATAGGCCAAGGTGCTTGAAAGGCCACAGGTAGTACTCGGGTTCAGGTAAGTGCCTTGAGGGTGAGGAGAGGGGGGTTGCATATAGTTACAAAGACAACAAGAGTGACTACAAGCACAGGACAATATGCTGTAAGGGGGGAGGGGATCCTTCCTGACCATATGATACACACACACACGTTGATATGAGGATCAGACACACTGAGGGTGTATCTAAGCTATGAAAGGTTTGGACTCAGCCCTCCTCACATGGGACCCCATTAAAGTGAACCTGTCCCCATTGGCTGCCATTGTCCCCTCCATTGTAGTCGCTGATTTGCTGACCGCACAGCTTCACCGATTAGCTGACCCGCAGAAAGTACACATATTCCGTGTCGGGCCCCCCGGCTGCTGGTTTCTTCTGGGTCAGCGCCTCTCACATTAGTCATGTTGGAGGATCTGAATGGCCGCATCTAAAATAAAAGTCGCCAATGGCGGCGGCCATATTTCTATCATGGAAGACTTCCGACTCCCCCCAACATGACGGCAGCATCCCTTTCCATTATTCCCCGCTGTCTCCTTGTTGGATCAAAGGCCATTCTGTTTTTTTTTTAGAACACTGAACTCTATAAAGAACCATTTCCATTGGTGGGGCTCCCTCAAAATAAGGCAACTCCCCCCAATCTTAAGAGCCAATAATCA